GGGATATTCTTAGTATGCTCTGTGGTTGCAGTCTAATCTGATCTTCCACATCAGAAAAGAATTATTCCTGTTTTATTGCAAGAGATTTTCTTCTGTCATTCTTGAGTTGCTGGGATCGGGATTATTGTTCACCATTTTACCTTGATATTTTAATTTACATCTTCCGCATTGCGCATCTGAGCCCAACAAGTGGTATCAGAGCTCAAGTTGGGCTCTGTATCGGCCAGTGTAAATTAAATGGAGGAGAACGTGGGTATCATGGTGAAGCTCACAGCAACAAATTACTCCATTTGGAAACCAAAAATGGAGGACATACTTTTCTACAAAGATCTGTGCGATCCTGTAGAAAAGGGAGACAACTAGCCAGATGATGTGAAGGATGACGATTGGAAAAAGTTACACAGAAAGGCTGCCAGTTTAATTCGACAGTGGGTGGATATCAGCATATTCCACCATGTTGCCACAGAGTTGAAAGCCCATACGCTGTGGAACAAAATTGAACAGATGTACCAGAGGAAGACTGCACAAAATAAAGCTTTCGTCATTAGAAAGCTTGTAAATTTAAAATACCGGGATGGAAGATCAGTTGCAAAACACTTGAATGAGTTTCAAGACATGGTGAACCAACTTGTTACCATGGAGATGAAACTTGATTTAGAGCTGCAGGCGCTGTTACTTTTGAGTTCTTTACCGGATAGTTGGGAGACTCTGGTGGTCTCGTTGAGCAACTCTGCTCCTGAGGGAAAACTGACTTTGACCCAAGTCAAAGACAATATGTTTAATGAAGAAACAAGAAGAAAAGACTCAGGGGCAAGCAGTTCCCAAGCCCTGGTCACAGAAACCAGGGGGAGAAGTAAAAGCAGAGGCCGGGATAACGAATTCAGAGATAAATCACAATCTCAACCCAGGAAAAAGTTCAAGTGTTATCACTTCGGTGAAGAAGGGCATATCAAAAGAAACTGCAAAGCCTGGAAGAACAGAGGTTGGAGGAACAACAGATCAGAGAACGGTGAAAATACCGCAACCCCTGTGATCAATGGGGAAGTGGTGTTGCTCTCTGTTGAAGAAGAAGAGTGTCACTTGCAAATTCATGTGTTGAATGGGTCATTAACTCAGCAGCATCATATCATGCAACCTCTCACAAGGAATTCTTTTCTCTATACAAAGAATGAGACTTTGGTAGAGTAAAGATGGGCAACAACAACATTGCAAATATTGTGGGAGTTGTTGATGTGTGCATTCAAACTTATATTGGGTGCACAATAACAGTAAAGGATGTGCGACATGTACCTGACTTACGTCTGAATCTGATCTCTGTGCATGCATTGGATCTAGCAGGCTATACTAACAATTTTGGTAACGGCACGTGGAGGCTTACCAAAGGATCGTTGTTAGCTGCTAGAGGTACAGTGAGATCGACTGTACAGAACTCAAGTGAAGCTGATCAAGGGTGGATTGAATGCAGTCGAAGATGATGCTTCACCAAATTTGTGGCACAAAAGACTGGCTCATATTGGTGAAAAAGGATTACAAATTTTGGCAAGAAAGTCCCTCATCCCATTTTCCAAAGATTCAAAACTAAATCCTTGTGATTATTGTCTCTTTGGGAAGCATCATAGAGTGTCTTTCAGAAAAACCTCGAAGCTGAAAGAGAATGTGTTGGAGATGGTGTATTCTGATGTATGTCGACCCATGGAAGTGGAGAGTCTCGGTGGTAGCAGCTATTTCTTGACATTTATTGATGATGCTTCTAGAAAACTGTGGGTGTATTTCTTGAGAACGAAGGGTGAAGTTTTTCAATACTTCAAAAGGTTTCATGCTATGGTGGAGAGACATGCTGGTAAACCTTTGAAGTGTCTTCGCTCAGACAATGGGAGGGAGTATACTTCCCATGAATTCAAGAATTATTGTGCCGAGCATGGCATCAGGCATGAGAAGAATGTACCTGGAACCCCACAACATAATGGTGTGGCTGAAAGAATCAACAGAACCATTATGGAGAAAGTGAGGTGTATGTTAAGAATGGCTAAGCTACCTAAGCCATTCTGGGGTGAAGCTGTTCTAACGGCGTGCTACCTGATCAACCGATCTCCATCTGTTCCTTTGGGCTTTTATATCCCTGAGAGAGTATGGTCCGGACATGATGTTAAATACTCTCATTTAAAGGTGTTTGGATGCAAAGCTTTTGCTCACGTAAGCAAGAAACAGAGACGAAAACTTGATGATAAATCCATTCCTTGTATATTTCTGGGCTATGGAGATGAGGAATTTGGCTACAGGTTATGGGATCCAGAAAATCAAAAAATTATCAGAAGCAGAGATGTAGTGTTTCATGAGCAAGAAACTATGTTCGATCTGCTTCACCAGAAATCAGAGAACCAAGTGGTAAGGTGGATCTTTCACCTGTCAAACCTCCTGGAGATGCCACAGCAGGGGTAGAGTGTGATGGAGAACTCAGGATTGATGATGAGCCAGCAATAGAAGATGGTGATGGTGAAGGTGTTGAGCAGGAAGACCTCGAAGCTCCACCTCAGCTCAGGATCAAGTCGAGTGATCCAACCATCTACGAGATATCCTAGTTCCACGTATATTACCATCACTGAAGAAGGGGAACCAGAAAGCTTTGAAGAAGTACAAACTCATAAGGATA